AGCAAGAGGGAAGGTAAGTTCCCCTAGCGGAAGCTCCATGCGTTTGACTCGGAGGATCTTGAGGCTATCGTTCTCGAGGGCATCACGGCATCCCTTGACGGGCGCTACAAGGTATTCATCCTTCCAGATGAAGCCTGGCTGAACATGGTACCCCAGAAAGATGCCTTCCTCTCCGGTTGGTGCAAACTTAGAGCTACCTGTAGCATTTTGCTTCGGATTATTCCAATAGATGATCCTAGCGCCAAACGGTATGGCGAGGCCACTGAATTCCTCATCAAAACGATCTACCCAAGGAACAGTCTCAGTGTCGAATCGCTTCGAGGTGTTCAGGGCCATGGTGTGATGCTGTGCGGCCAAAGGCCACATTTTATCAGGAAGCCCCGCCTGGAGAAGGTTGGCACGAGTGCCTTCGAGGACAGTCCTGATCTCTCTCTCGATGACAGCCTTGTTTTGATCAACATAGGCTCGAGAGGTATTGTGCCTGCAGCCAATCCGTTTAACAGCATTTTCAAGCTCAAACGCATTATCGGAGTACACTATACCAACACTATCCTCAACTTGAAGAAAGTGCAGCAAGTTTTCGTAGCACTCCTCAGCGTTCTTGGAAACGGCCGGGTAAACATACCTGAAGTTGGACCAGACATCCTTAACCACGAATGCAACCTTTTCCCCCTCGAACCCAAAGTCTCGGAAGTCCTTCGTGATGACATGGTCGATCGTGATGTGGTCCCCGAATTTCTTGGATGCGATAGTGCTCGATCCTCCCTTCTTTCGTGCATGGGGGGCCATCATTTTTGCCCTTTGGCACACTTTACAGAAAGGATTCTTGGGTCGATGGGTGAATTTGTGGGCAGCAGTCTCGGCTTCCAGCCTAAGTTTTTCGGAACCTCCTACGTCATCGGGCGCTTCATCGTGATCACTATCAGGTTCAGGTTCGGGATTGTCAGGTGGTCTTTCGAAGATCGAAATTGAGAGGATGGTCGGCTCTTCGAACTTAGCAACCTTTTGCGGAAGTTCTCTCATGTCGGCCTTGTTCTCGATCTTGGACCATTCACCTCCCCTGAAAACCCAAGTTGTCCTGATCACGAAGCTAGGATGTCTCGACGCAGGAGTCCTGAAGGCTTTGGGTCTGTGTCCGATGATTACCTTACGGTGTTCTTCAGTTGCAGTCCAACCTGTTTTGCTTAGCTGTTCTTTGGAAATGGCGATCGGCGGCACCTTGGAAATTGCATCGCGGACCTCAGGATCAAGGTGCTTACCTGGGTCCTCGTCTTGTTCGTCTTCACCGGCGGGATGTTCATGCGCAGCACCGGCGAGCCCGCAAGGGCCGCTATCTACTGAAAAAGCGAGCTGCCCCCCTGGCTGAATACCGGGGAGACAATGTTACTCTCCTCTTCGATAGCTGGAGTGGCAACAGAGCCTTCTGCGATCACAGGGACCCTGCCTTTGAGTTTGCACTTCAGCTTCCTGCCGTCGGGAGTGACAAAGAAAGGGACCTTCCCCGCATGCCAGTGGAAGTCATAACCCTCATCCATGCATCTGCGCCCGACAGAGCAGACAGGAGGAGTGCTTTCTAGTAGATAACACTCAACTGGGAGGCTCAGTTCAGGGATATCGACTTTGACAGATTGATCCCCGAGTACTGGGCCATTTGCTGTGATTAGACTCACAGGCCTTGATGCAGTTTTGACCTCGACGCTCGGATAGTGAATCCTCAGATCCTCCTTGCTAATGAGGTCTTCCTCGCTACCAGTGTCAGCTAGGAACTCTAGGCCGGGCACTATGCCTGAGCAGGCAGGCGCGGGGGTGCGTTCGCATGACTCACATGTCAGGTCTTCACACATGTAACCACACTTAGTAGGTACATCGTTCGTCATGCTGATCACCAATGCCTCAAGTTGCTTAGCTTCGATCCTGGCACGATTCTGTTCTTTCATGCTCGGCTTGGGGCAGTCCTCGGCGGTGGCGTAAGCCACGCTGAAACGACGTTTCCTCCTGATGTGCCTGAAGCCATCACCTTCCACAGGAATGGCCTTCATGACAGGTTCATCACAGAAGGTGACCTTCAGTGGCTCTATTTTGAAAGTAGACTTGCCTACCCAAGCCCTAGAGGAGGGTTCCGGCGCAGTCTTCCTCCAGTTCCATGCCACTGCAGCAAAGCGAGGGTACTCTGGGAAGGTTTTCTCTACCCTAACCTTGCTCTTAAGTCGCCGGACATTGATCGGGCAGTCGCTTCCTGGTGCAAACCAGCCTGTTCTCTCCACGCGATGGTGTCTGATTAACAATCCACCCTTGAAGTCGACCTCCCACGTGTCCTCCAAAAGGCTTGTCTGCACAGCAGGTGCTGCGAGGCAACACGCCGCTGCCTTGTCCCTGCTCTTAGACCTACCTCGGCTTTTCGGTCTCCTAGGAGCGGGCGAGGGGGATCTAGGCTTAGGGTTAGTGGGATCAGGGGTGGCAGCAGCCGCCTTAGCTTTCGCAGCTGCGGCTGGCTTCTCCTGGTGGAGAAAACGACAGTTCTCGCCCTTGTTGCACTTCCCTTTCTTCCAGAAAGTACAGACACGCTGAATTCTACCTCCGATCTTTGGGGCTTTGTCAGGCTTCTTCGAGTTCGGTGACTGGGACCTAGTCTTGTGGAGGAAACTGCATTTGTCACCACGAGTACAGGTACCTTTCAGGAAGTCGTAGCACACTCCCTTCGGGCTGTTTGACCTCTTTGGGGAGCTGGCATTGCTACTTCGCGAGCGGCTCGTGCTCCTAGATGGCGATCTACCTCTCTCACGGCCACCTCGGCTTGAGGGGCGAGACGGGCCCGTCGGGGCAGGAGCCCCAAACTTGTCCCCGTGGGACTTGGCGATCCTGTCTCGGTTTTTCCTGACCCTTTCCCTGGTAAGCAAGTCCCTAATCGACTGCAGAAGGAAGGAGTAGGTGTGAGAAGCAGATCCCTCCTTGGCACGGTCGTAAATCTCTAAGTCATACTTCATACGACTTGACTTCCTAATTTGTCTAAGCAGAATATCTCGTAGTACCATTTCCTCAGGGACATGGCTCATTCCTGCAATGACACTCTCCCAATTGTGAAGAAAAGATGTGAGGTCATCTCCAACCATGTTAACCTTCAAAAGGTCCTCAACTGAGTAGAGTGAGCCTACTTCTTCGTTGGTTTTGAAGTGTTGTTCGAAGAGGTAAAGAACCTGACGACCCCTCACGGATCTCTTTTGGGCGGCCTCGGTTTCCTTGAAGTTCAGGATGTGTCTACCGAGGTCTCCCTTTGCGACCTTACTGAGTGCAGCGAGCAGCTTCGTGTCGAGAGTCACAAACTTTCCTGGCTCTCTTAGCTTTTCGTGTGATGCGTTCTTGTCGTAGACTTCAAGGATCCACTCGAAAGCATCATCGGGTCTATCGCTGGCCGCACGAATAGCTTCACGGGTCGCAGTCTTCCATGACCTGTACGTTTCGGGATTTGGGAAGTCTGGCAACCTAATGCTCTCGGCTTCGATCACCTTTGGTTTGTCGTCTTCAGTCCTCTCACCTTTCATGAGGCGAAGGTTTTCGAGGATTGCTGCCTGCGTTGCGAGCAGAGTCTCTGAGGTCAGACCAGTGGCCGGCATCCCGGTAACGGGTGCTGCAGGATTTCCTAGACCCGGAGGGGTCGTCAAGGGTCCTGCAGTGGTTCCTGCAGGCTGAGCTGAGCCAGCCGCATTCGCACTGACCGGTCCACCGATCGTCTGTCCTTCTGAGGGCGCTGCAGTTGCACCAGCTTGGGGCTGTTGTGCAGTTGTGTTACCTGGATTCATCTGGGCCAGGAGTCCTCGCATGCTAGAGCTCAACATGTTTGGCGTTACCACGTTCGGTGCAGAAGGTGCACTAGGAAACACAGGGGCTTGTTGTTGTTGCGATTCTTCTGCGAACCTAAGTGCCCTTTCAGTGGCCAATAGCTTGTCCTCAATTTCGTCTTGCTGTTCTTTCGCAGCATCCAACATCGCGTCGAATTCTTCCCTTTCGGTTCTTTGGTAGACCTGGAAATTTTCTTCGAACTCCGAGAGGAGGAACTGCGATTGTTGTGCAGCAAAACTGTTGGGTTGTTGATGGTATTGTTCTTGCATCCTTTGGGCGAGGAGCGCCTCTGATTGTGAAACGTTTTGCTCAATGCTTGCAAATCGGGCTTGCATTTCGTCAAGCTCTTCGATTAATCCAAGTTCCCTGGTGGCTGACCGTTGTTCGAACCTCGCGAATCGCTCTTCGCACGATGCCATTCGAGTAGCATGTACTCTTTCGGCGAGTTCCTCAAGGTTCGAAACACCTTGTTCATTTGCACGGGCCTGTTCTTCCATGGCCAGTGTGTGCCTTCTCTCCGCTTCAATCTCTAAGAAACTTAGCTCCGTCCTAAGACGTGCTCGGTTCTCATCATGAACATGAAACACATTCGTCTGCGAAAAGAAGTTCGCCGCCATGCTGAGGTTCCGACCATCATGCATGGACATGTTAGCGAAGTTCACTGCTTGAGGGTACGACTGTTGACCTAGGTGCGTCTCTGGTGCCCCTGCTCGGCTTCCCGTTGCCGGGAGCAGCAGAGGTAGTCCTGTACGTTCTGTAGCTGCTTCTTCGGCAGGTACAAGTTCAGGTGAAGCATTCTCCAGGTTCGCATCCGCAAGCATTGTAGGCTATACGGCTGATAACCTATAGTTATCAGGGAAACTCCAAGGTGTAATCACAAGCACTGAGTTGAGAATACCGTTAAGCCATGCAGGAGCGAACGCTCTATTTTCTACTGCAGAGGGCTTGCGAGGTAATGCAACGGGACGATATGCACATGATGTTAAAATGCAAGGGTTATCGCAATGCAAAATTACACAGACCCCTCAAAATCGACTCAAGCCCGAGACTTGTTCCAGAAACTCGGGCTCTGAACAGTCTCTGAGTCTCTGTGTCCTCACCTAAACCCTAAACCCTAAACCCTAAACCCTAAACCCATAATTCCGATGGTTCCCAGAGGCGTCCTCGTTGAGACCCAGTGCCGCCAAGGCCTCGACTTGGTTCTCGCCTCAGAGGATAGCCCGCCCCTCCCTTCTCTCCCTCTGAATTCGACATGGTTCTTGAGCACACTCGGACACCTCACGGTTCTACATGAGTCTACCATCAATATATACATATATATATATACATATACATATATACTGTTCTATACTATAGTACAATAGTACGCATTTTATCCAAATAATTCATATATATATATATGTGTGTGTACAAAAACATTCAGTTGCGAGAGAGAGCCCAGCCTGGAAAGAGCGCTTCTTGCCTTCCGGCATCCTCACGGAGCCCAATCAGAGTCCCATCCCTTCCCCATCTCTTCACTCGCGCGCTCGTTTGGTTTTTAGCAGCCATGTGGAAAATTTCCTCGTCTTCCGCGTCGTCAGGCTTCTTTGCCTTTCCGCATTCGCAAAGGCAAGGTCATGCTCCGTGCAGCGGTCAGGAACATCGGCAGTTGCGACAAGCGCGCAAGGGGCTCCCCGCCTTTGCCAGCTTGAAGGGCGTGAGTGCATCGATGTCCTCCTTGGCCTAAGTTGGTAATGGGGGACAACTCGGGCCATTCAGTTCTTTGTGCACGCGCGCTGATGCAAAGACCCCTGAGGCATCCACTCGAAGGTCCTCGTCCTCCTGCTGAAGGACACTCAGCCTTCGCAGCATCTGCAAGGCCTCGGCGCTTCATGTTTTTAGTTCGTTAGGGCAGTGTAGGGAGTTTTTGGGGGCGCTTTCCAACAAGGCTCAGGTCCGGGCAGTGTGCGGGGGTGGAGCCTGTAGGGAAGCGCGCCGACGCGAGAGGGTCGTCCAGCCTAAGGGCAAAGCAAAGCCTGCACGCAGTGTGCTTTCTAAGCACTCCTGAGGATCCTACGGAGCCACCAGCAAAGGACTTCCGGATTGCCCAGTGCCTCTTCCACCTGCGAGACTTGCCAGGCGCAGAGGACTCTGCAAATCAGCGCCCCTCGGCACTCAAACGTAAGGACCCGGGTTCATGCTGGCGCATCCACAAGCATGTGAATGTAGGTTCATTGACTGGACATGGGAGCGAGTTCTCAAGTGCTACGGCCCGCCTCCAGTCCCAGCGCTGCCTGCAAACCTGGTGCAACTGCAGCTCTCGGCTTCGGCTTCCAAACTTTCGCTTCTCTCCGCTTTTTCACTACGGCTCGCCTCCAGGCTCGCTTGCGGGGGACTGCGGGGCGTCGGCAACGCCTGCCGCGGAAGCCTCACCAAGCTGGTGACCCTTGCATGGCCAGGACAAAGGAAGAACAAAGGCAGCACAGTTGCGGGGTTCAGCCGATTCAGCTCGGCTTGGTCTAGGCACGGCGGTAGATCCTCTCCCAGAAGTCTAAGAATGGAGCAGCCAGAGCAGAGGCTGACTGATGTTGCCAAAGATGGCGGTGCCTTGGGCTGTGGCAACTGAAGAAGAAAGCTCTGAAACCACCAGGCGCTCGGTCGCTCAGTTGTCCGCAGCAACTGCAGTCCGTGAACGAGCGCCTGAGTTTCTGTTGCTAGAACTTGCGAAGCGTGCATGCAGTGCACGCTACACCCCTGCCTGCACTGACAGCAACACTGGTCCAGTGAGATCCGCATGCAGCGGAAATCTGGAAGTCAGCCTCTGGACCTCAGCCACATCACCCCGAACTGCAGGAAGCCAGGAGGCCGCTCGTCTAAAACGGCTGTACCAGGATCGTGGCAAAGCCGGACGCCGAGCCTCAGAACAATCAGCGCCCATGTCGAGGCGTGCTCACAGCACATCGGCTCCCTAAACCCTAAACCCTAAACCCTAAACCCTAAACCCTAAACCCTAAACCCTAAACCCTAAACTGGGAGCTTCGGCTGGACAGGTTCTGCAGCTCCGACATGGCGGCAGGGTCTGGTGCAGATTCCTGCCGAGCCCAAGCAACTCCCAAGCTGGCCCAAAGTCCTCTTTCGCCACATTGGCCGCCAGAGTCTGGGCTCGGCGCCGGATGGGGGAGGATCCGCTGCCTCAAGGGAGAAGAAGCACGCAAGAGGCACCCCGGACAGTAACCGCGGCTCTTGCGAAGCTTGGCAAGGGGCATTCGGTCAGGTCGGCAGACCTCAGATGCCCAAAAACGACTCAAAAAGTTCAATGGTTTAGGGTTTAGGGTTTAAGGGTTCAGGGTCGTGGGGCCGAAGTCGGAGAATTCTGCCGATCTCGAGGGCCCCACGGCGGCCACGAAGGCAGCGACCTCCTGGCAAAGCTCCTGTCACAGTTTAGGGTTTAGGGTTTTTGGTTTAGGGTTTAGGGTTTTTGGTTTAGGGTTTAGGGTTTAGGGTGTTTAGGGTTTGGGGTTTGGGGTTTAGGGTTTAGGGTTGACGGTTGCGGGTTGCGGGTTTAGGGTTTGGGGTTTAGGGTTTAGGGTTTAGGTGCGTGTGCTGTCGCTCACCTAGTCATCAAGCCAAGGCACTTAAGTTCGTGGCCCTGCAGTTCAGCAGACGAAGAATTACTAGAAGCTTTCTTATTTATGGGACAGAGGCCTTGAAGCTTGTGACTTTCCGCAACACTAGGCAGCCTATAAATGCTTGAAGTCACACAGGCAGACCACAGCGACCGTACATGTATGGCCTGGTAGCCGGGTGGCTGCTGACCAGCGGCCTCGGGCAAAAGCATTAGACATTGGACAGAAAATTGAATACGCAGAGTGGAAGCACCTTGGCACGAGCTCGGCGGACAGCAACATAACATGTTGAGCACAGCATGGATTTTCGGGTCCGCGAAGGTCCGCGAAGGAGCTTAAAGTTTACCTGGATGCAGGCTGTACAGCATTGAGTGCGTGGTCAATAGTCTTTCGACCGGTTCATTCGCATGCCGCCCGACCCGCAAGCACTGCCCACCATTCGGTGACGGCGAGGCTTCGTTCGATGTTCCGCATGATGCTCCCCACGTCTCCTCGTCTGCTTGCATGCAGCATACTGATAGATGACAGAAATGATGTGTGCGAGCGGGCCGAGGTGGACTGATCTGCCGGAAGATCTCTGTAACATTTGTACACTGGAGACACCAGGCCCAGCCCTGCCTCACATTCCTCACAGGTTCGCCACCCTAAACACACTAAACACACGAAACCCGAAACCCTAAACCCTAAACCGCAGGCCGGTCGGTAGCCCAGTGGTCCAGACAACGTAAGAGCAGCACCTAGACCATGCCGCGAATGCGCTCTGAATGCTGCGATCTCAGCCTGCTGAAGTAATCCTGCGGACGCTGCACTCTTCAACCTCGGCTACTATATGGCATTTCGAAAATAGGGGTACCCCTAAATTTACCCCAACATACTATAATCCTCATTATAGGAGCCCCAGAAAGGGTACCCCCAATTTGCGGAAACCACTATATACAGACAACAGAGTGAGCGCGTGGGATTTCTCCAGCACTGTAAATGAAGGAAGTGTCTCTGACAGCTGGATTCGCCTGGACTCAGCGGTAGTTCTTGGCAGACGGGAACTCTGCCCGAAACTGGCCAAACGTTCACAGTAGGCCACGATGCTCAGACAGTACCGGTGAAATTCAAACGGCAGCCAACGGCTTACTGCATAAGCTGCCTTTCGGAAGCACTGCCCCAAACTGAGAAGCTTCAAACAAAACTGAATGGCTCCAAATCAAAACAGTCAACGTCACTAGGACTTGCCTCCCCTTTCGACTGCTGCAGGCTGACCCAACAACAGCCAGCGGTCGCCAAGTCCTATACCCCCAGACATCTCACAACGAAGGACCTGGGCGTCGCAAATCACCTAAAGCCCTGGAGAAAGAAGCCTCACAAGTCCTAAGCCGCGAAGGGCTTAGGACCTCGGAATCCTCCCGCTCCTTAGAAGCCCCTTGGCCGGCGAATTTTTTCGGGCGGCCCCGTGCTTTGTAGGCAGCCGTTTTGTAGAGTTCGGGGGCTTCGGGCATTTTGGGGAAGTTTTGGGCGTTGGAGCTGCCGACCCTGGCTCATGTCCATGCGTCCCCGAGGACTGCGGTGGGCAGTTGCGCATCCTTTCTCTGGGTTTGCTGGTGTACCACACATCAGACATGTCATACGGGGGCAAGCAGGCGTCAAGCCATGACCCATGAAATGAACAAGAACAGAGGCGAGTCATGGGCGCAGCTTACTCTATCTTCTCACGTATTCTGTTCTTAAGGTCAAAGCTGCGAGCCGGTCTTTGCGATATGGGGGACAGCCAAGGCCTGAACAACTGCTGAAGCTTGCAGGGAAGCTCCAACCAAGGCATAGAGATGCATTGCTAGGCACAGCCAGCCACCTTGAGACCCAACGCTACGCTGAAGGTCCTGCTTAGATATGCACAATCTTGCCGAGTCTCGGCACTGCTGAGCAGACGCTGCCACAGGACCTCCGCCATAAACAGGGCAACTCGATTTTGGAGCTGAGCTGGTGAGGGAGAAAGGGGCAGAGACAGGGGAGGATCCAGAATTTCTTGCAGAACAGCAGTGAAGGAAGGCAAGGTCGGAACATGGAAGAGCTTTCTGGAATGACTTGTGCTGGTCGCACAAAGTCATCGACACTGCGACCTGAGGAACAGGCCATAGCGTGGCCTAGCTCGAAGGCACCACGACGGACACGTGGAAGGACGCCCCATCACCTCAACAGGGAGTCCCTAGGCCCTAGCCACCAGACAAGGAGAGGCTCAATCTCTTCTTCCTCTCTCTCCCCGCTCTCTTCCAGGTTCCTCCCCACTTGAACTGTGGCCCGCGCTGTAGCCAGAAGGGATAGGCACTTGGTACTGGTAGCCTAGAGCAGAGTGGTACACAACATGACTGCGTAGGTTGTGTGCAACATGCCAGTCACCACTCGCTCCCAGGCCCAAACCGTGGTCCGGAGGGAGAAGGGAAGGCGGGGGGGGGGTGGGGGGGGTTGGACATCTCGGACGTATGTGCCGCACGGCCTTTGGTACGAGGTTGGCGACGCTGGGTTGGCAGTGTTGGTGCGTGGTTTTACGGTGTGGTGTGGGCGCGGAGGTGGCGTGGTGGTGGGCGTTGTGGTTGGGTGGTGGCGGGGTGGTGGTGGGGTGGTGGCAGGGGCGGTGGTAGGGGTGGTGGTAGGGGTCTTGGTAGCGAGTGGTGCTGGGGTGGTGCTGGGGGGTGGTGCTGAGGTGGTGGGGTGGGGCAGAGCGCCAATACTGGGATCTGCTGCCAAGAAGTGATACATGAAACTGACACCCCAAGCGATGCCTTGATATTCCACGGGCACCGATGTGGCGGCGTATCCTGGAAGTGACGCCAGAAAGAAACTTTGACGGCAGGTTCTCCGATGAAACTGAGGGTGTGCTAAACCCTAAACCCTAAACCCTAAACCCTAAACCCTAAACCCTAAACCCTAAACCCTAAACCAAACCCTAAACCCTAAACCCTAAACCCTAACCCTAAACCCTGAACCCTGAACCCTAAACCCTAAACCATGAACCCTGAACCCTAAGCTATCCTTAGCCGCAAGAACCACAGCTGCCACGTGATCCCTACCCTGCTCGGCCTCCAGAACAGGAAGGAACGGTGACCTGTCCAGAGTCCCAAACTGGCTTCGGGCAGCTTGGTCTGTGGGACAGCTTGAGATCTTGAGTTCGGGGTTTAGGGGTTTAAGGGTTAGGGGTTTAGGGCTTAGAGTTTAGGGTTTAGGGTTTAGGGTTGAGGGCTTAGGGTTGGAGTCCTGCAAAATCATGGGGGCTGGGATCTTAGGAACTCCTTGCGTGGGGGTGTGGGTGGTGCCACAGCCCACAACGGGCCAGCCCTTAAGGGGGCTTTTGGAGCATGGACTTCATTCTGAAGTACACAGCTCCTGCCTCAATTTGCTGGCTGTCGGGCACAGCACTTAGGAGGCCAGCATCCTCGCATCATACCACTCCACACATCGCCAAGCCGTGGGCATCTCTGCGACTCCCCACCCTTGCGCGAGCAGGGTCCTGCTGCCTGTACACCTCCATCAGCATGACCTCCACACATCTACACGTTCACAGAGACCGATATGCAAAAGGCCTACTCAGCGGTCTAGAACAAGCAAACCTCTCTGCCCCCGCCCCCCACAAAGTGGGACCAGCCCAAACCGCTTGGAGCGGAGGTTCCACAACGTGGGCACTTCCCACAAGACCACGCCAAAAAGCGCCAAAAAGGCCTGCCCTGCACCTTTTTCGGGGCCATTCCCAGGACCTCTCCTACTGGTAGGACCGCCACACCCCGCATTCGACCAGCCCGGCTGCCGAGGCGGCGAGCGCGCAAGCGCTGACGCTTAGAGAGCACCTGTGCTCCATACTTTTTTGCTTCACGTTGCTCTGTGTGCATTCTCACTCCGAGCCTGCAAAAAGGAGCTGTACTCATCAGCTGCCGTAAGGCTCTTCAGGAAGGAGTCCAGGTCTGCCTGCAGAATGTGTTCTGGGGGGTATCTACCAGTGGAGAGTTTGGGAATCCTTGCCTGCAGCTCCCCCAGAGATGTTCGCATATCTTGGAGGTGCTGCATCGCAGATTGGAAGCTGGCCTGGGGTGGGCACCCTGAACCCTAAACCCTGAACTAAACCCCAGCATCACTTTCCAGCTAAGCTGCCCTGGTCATCCCAATCTCGGAAAGGGTCTTCCTCGGAGCAGCATAGCATCGTTGAGCCCAGCACACATCAAAGATACTACGGGACTCTGCATACCGAAATGACAGCTGCCACCCGGTTGCTCGAGGTGCGACTCGAACATGTTCTTGTACTCTTGATGCCCTTGGCACAGAGAGGTGCTGAGAAATGCTGTCTGAGCTTGCCGCGGGGCTCTATCGCAAAGATCCCTTTCAGGCACTCGATACCGGCACGGATTGTGAGACACTCCCTGAGCCTGGCACGCAGCGTCCACAGCCTTGGGCACAGGCGCTCCATT